TAAAAACGAGTTAAGCTTGGATATCATTATATAAACAGGTTGGACTACTTCATTATACTTTCATTTCTCCTAGATCAACTAGCTTTCAGTGTAGATTCAGGTATACGAACAGTCAAGAGTATTCAGTTATGAATCGTATTTTTGAGAGAAGTATTTGTTTAACTTTGACAATTCAAACATAATTTTCCAATAACTTAATTATTTTGTACTGAACAGGNTAAAAACGAGTTAAGCTTGGATATCATTATATAAACAGGTTGGACTACTTCATTATACTTTCATTTCTCCTAGATCAACTAGCTTTCAGTGTAGATTCAGGTATACGAACAGTCAAGAGTATTCAGTTATGAATCGTATTTTTGAGAGAAGTATTTGTTTAACTTTGACAATTCAAACATAATTTTCCAATAACTTAATTATTTTGTACTGAACAGGTCTGAAACTTAATTACAAAAAATGGATCTTACAAAAAAGCATGAGTTCTTTGGCAGAATACATAAAACCAGAATTACAAGCAATAAAAACAGCTGGAACATGGAAAAATGAACGAGTAATTGTTACACCTCAACGCACACGAATTTCATTAACAAATGGAACAGAAGCTCTTAACTTCTGTGCAAATAATTACTTGGGTTTATCTGTGAGTTCGAGTACATCCAACAAATGATACACCATTTAATATTATAACAATTAATCTTCCTAATTTAGAGCAATGAGGAAGTAATTTCAGCAGCAAAGAGGGCTTTGGGTAAATATGGAGCCGGTTTGAGCTCTGTAAGATTCATATGCGGTACTCAAGACATTCACATAGAATTAGAAAAAAAGATCGCACAGTTTCACGGTAGGGAAGATGCAATCCTTTATGCATCCTGCTTCGATGCGAATGCAGGACTTTTTGAAACATTGCTAACACCTGATGACACAGTATTGAGTGATGAACTGAATCATGCGTCTATTATCGATGGTATCAGACTATGTAAGGCAAAAAAATACAGGTGAGAGGTGAAAGTAGATGTATTATTTTTGATAATGACTACAATATCGAATTATATTCCGCGAAGGTACAAGCACAGGGACATGATAGATTTAGAAAATAAGCTCCAAGAAAGCATGTCCTCTCGCCTACGACTCATTGCCACTGACGGTGTCTTTTCTATGGATGGCACTGTTGCACCATTGCCAAAAATTTGCGAGCTTGCAAGAAAGTACAATGCTTTCACTTTCGTGGATGATTGCCATGCTACTGGATTCTTTGGACCACGTGGAAAGTAGTTACATTTGTGTTGGCCTAATTTTACTTAATTACAATATACTTATTTTATACATAAGCACACACGTAAATTAAAATTGCACGTGTAAAAATTAGTCTCTACACATATATTTTCATATCTACGTATATGAACATTGTTTTAATTACAGAGGCACGGAAGATTATTTTAATGAGTTGGGAAGTATTGACATTATTAACTCGACGCTAGGAAAAGCTCTCGGTGGAGCAGCTGGTGGCTACACGACTGGTGTAAAAGAATTAATTGATTTGCTAAGACAACGCAGCAGACCGTATTTATTTTCAAATTCATTACCTCCGTCTGTGGTCGCATCAGCTAACAAAGTACGCCGAGGTTCTGTGCCTATCTTTTAAATAATAATATGGACTATAAATAATGTTAATGTTCCTTTTGCATAGGTCATGGATCTCATAACAGAGTCTACCGAGTTTTTGGACAGATTGAAGAACAATACGAATTTGTTCCGAAACGGTATGAAGGCAGCGGGTTTTACAATCAGTGGTGATAATCATCCTATCTGTCCTGTCATGTTAGGAGATGCAAGATTAACTAACGAATTTGCTGATAAGATGATTAGTATGTATTTTACAATACAGTTCTCTACTTAACATTCGAACGGATAAACATTAATCTATCTTTTTGCAGAAAAAGGCATTTATGTAATTGGTTTTAGTTATCCTGTTGTACCAAAGGATAAAGCGAGAATACGTGTTCAGATCAGTGCTGCACACACAGAGAACGATGTGGAGCAGGCCATAAGTGCATTTGTCCAAATTGGTAGAGAAGTTTCTGTGATTAATTGATAGCCTTTTTCTTACCAATATTTTTAAATAAAAAAATTAGAAACTACTCAAATATATTACTTTCCTGTGCTTCTCTCTTGTAACATACTGGTGGTATAAAGGATTTAAATTCATACGATCTTAACGAAATGTAAATATTTAATGTGTAGATACCAAAGCCAAGCGTTTACATGCAAAGGAACATATTATAAATAAAAATATTACCTCTTATATAAATTTCGCAATATATATAAGATTTTATCAGGTTACAAAAACTTTTGATTATATTTAAAGTTGTGTTCTAATTAAGTATCAACTTTATAGATATTAAGGCTCGTATGGCTTAACAAGATATTCTGAAAACTCTTTGACTTGTGTGACTCCACGAACTTCTTTTTCTAATAAGGGAAGTTTTGTTATATGAAAATCTTCATACAAATCCATTATCTGGGGAAAATTTAATTGAATTAGTCTTTTACTTTGTATGTTTACGTTGATATAATTGATGTAATTTTACCTGTCCTAAATATTTATCTTGTATTTTATGTCTAGCTAGGCAGAGTCTACAGGATGCATCTTTATCTTTGAGAAATAGCAGCTGATTTACTATAATGTTATGTGTATCGATTTCACACTTAGTAAGTTCCTGTACAAGCCGCTCAGTCTCGTACAAAGACAAGAACTCTGCTATGCATACACAAACAAAAGTTGTTTGATCAGGAGTTCTAAATTGTTCATTGATTTGCCTAATGACAGTAAGCATTTCCTCTATTTTGTTGGAAAATGTATCTACATTGAAGTCTGTCATACCCAACAATGAGCTTATCTAGAATAAAATAGAATTAAAATTAGGATTGACATTACAAATGCAATATTAATTGCTATATTCTCTTTAAACCTGTGTAATAAAAGGACCAATCTTCGCCTTTAATTTCATTAATTTTCCCAAACCCTTCTCAACAACTTGTGGAAATGATAGTAGCCTCAAAGTATGACCAGTTGGTGCAGTATCAAACACAACAACTGAAAAGTTCATTCCTTTGACAAGCCTGCAAATTTAAACGATCTATAAAAGTGTATAATCCCTATTTACTTCTTTGTTTGACTTAACACTAACTTCATAACTTCTGCATAACTCATTGCCTCATCTATACCAGGAAATGCACCTATAATTTCTTGCATTACACTTCTGCTCAATCTCATTGCTTCTCCATCTGAAACCAATTGTGCAATGCTACTTCTGTCCCTTAAATTACAATTACAGTACTAACTCTAACTCCTGCACATTTTTCTTCCTCCATAAGCATATACTTGTATCCCAACCATTTTATTTTGTATTCAACTCTGCAATGAATCCTATCTTAGGTCTGTATCATTAGTGAATCAGAACAAAATAATTTCTGTCCCCATCTTTGGGAACTATAGCTTAGTAAGCTATAGCCCAAAATCATGCAGGAGTGAGAAGTAGTACTATATCTTCCATACAGCATACATGTAACAATGACTACCAGAATCACTTTCAAAGTATTCTTCAGGCATTTCGGTAAGGCCAGCATTTGGATCTATTTCCATAGCAAACAGATTCTCGAAACTCTTTACTCTCGTTGGAACTTTGCTAAATTTCTGATCAAAAGCATCGGAAATATTATGTGCTGGATCTGTCGATATGATAAGTACATTTTTCCTCACTTTGGACAACTGTACGGCCAAGGAGCAACTGAAAAATCGATTAAAAGCAACGAAACATGGTGTGCATTTAATGTTCTGTCTTATTTCATAATTATTTGAAATTTCGTGATAAATAAACAGATTTTACAGGTTATGATTACCTGCATGTAGTTTTACCAACTCCGCCTTTACCACCAACAAATATCCATCGCAATGATCGTTGTTCAATTATATTTTTAAGAGAAGGCTCGTATTCTTCCGGCATCGAGTTATTTACATTCATGGTTACAGAAACAAAGTCTTATCTGTTTAAAAACAATTTTAACACGTCATTTATTACAGTCACTAATAAAATAGGTGCAAATAGGTGGAAGGTGGAAATGGGACGTAGAAGTCGAAATTGCTTTGCTCCGATTGGTTGACATTTCACAGCTGACCAGTGCTGCCCTCTTAAAAACAAAGAAAAAATATGGCGAGTGAGCAACAAGACTGCAAGGATTTGGTTTCTCATCCGTGTGGGCTCTCGCATACTGGTTTCTTTCTGTTTCTCTCAATCATCTCCCGTTCTCTTACTAAAGCAACTGCTCGAATTTGGATGCGCAGTAGAATGGTGGAGATAAAAAGCTTTTTGTAGATAGGTAGAATTTTTATGTACGAAGTGGATTAAAAATTGTTTTCACACTGTTATTTATATCTTAATAAAATTGTTCAGTAAGAAATTCAGTTAAGAAATTTATTACTCTTAACTTATGTTTGTTGAAAACTTATTTTTCAATTTAAACACTTATTTGTAATAAAAATTGTAAGAAATATGTATATCATCCTCAATAATAAGCTCATAATTATGTTACTTATTTGTTACCTCATTTTGACACAATTTAAAATTGATTCTCCGTGTACATAAGGATGCTGCATTATGATTGTTTCGCTGGTTGGCTCCATGGTTGATTCAAAATAAACTTCATCAACAAGTTATGTACAGTTGTACATACATGAGTGTACATATATCAGGGCTTGGAATTAACTTGCCAGCGTCAGAATATTTGCGGAAGTTGGTCTGGAATGTGCTGTGGAGTGATGAAGAGGGGATCGGAGTGTGCTGGCAACACTGCCATTGGAAATTGTCATTGGTATCCATTGGCATCATCCAATCACATTTATGAGGTCTCGTTTCCAACACTATGTAGCACATTCCAGATCAGCCTCCGAAAATTCTCTGCCGTAGTATTTGTAGTAGTTGTTAGTGCATACATAAAAATAAAAAAAATGTATATGCATTTTATAGCTTAGAAACACTATTGATGACATTTTTTAATTTAATTAACACTATCATATTGTTTAAAAACTTGCAAAATGAGGAAAAATGTCCGTATTATGCAAATCGATGTAAATGTTTGAAAGTAACTAATCTTTATTTTTAATGGATAATTAACTATTTGTCAAATGGTACAAAAGATGTATTAAAAGTTATACAAAAGTAGCTTTTGATACATGTCTTTCAAATATATCTTTTCGCGGCACGCAGCGTACATATGTATGCATGTGCATACACTTGATTCGCGGGCTACATAAAATTTCGCGAATTAATGTCGAAGTCTATTAATTTTTACTAATCGTATAAATATTATAAAATAAGAGATACAATGAAATTAGTGTGTAATTGATGCATTAATAGTATTGTAAAGTATTAAGATAAAGGATGAACGATAAGAGAATCTATTCATTCGTATGTTAAGCATAAGTGTATGTAGTACATACATACATATGTAATTCATGGAAATAATGCCGGTTTCTTTGAGAACTACGACTGCAGAAATCGCTCTGCTTTATCGCTGGGTGAATGGTATTTTAAAAAAATGACATGACCAAAATTAAAAACTCGAATTTAGACAATGTATTCTGACTGAAAAGTCTCTAAAATTATTATTACAAATAATATTGGTGGGGGGGGTGGCGCGCTGGGTGCAAGACAATTATGCGGTCCCTCCCTGAGCGCAGACCTCGTGGTGAACTACCTCTAGCTCGGCCATATTGAAATATTGAATGTCTCTGTTACACAAGGGCTCAAGAGTAGCCGTGAAATTTTCGCGTGATCCTCGACGAAGAGAGGATAAAAGACATCATGGAATCCATGTACAGCATTAACGTTACCAACAAGTTCTTGGTTCCGTTACTGGCAGATGACGCAGATCTACACGAGATAGTGCAGCAACGGGAACAAGAGAAGGAAGCTAAGAAAAAGGAGAAGCTTTCGGAAAAGGAGAATAAGAGTAAGCAGCCGGACGCGCCAAAGAGTACCGGCAACAAAACGCAAAAAACTCGCGTGATTAAGGATACACAGCTACCAGTGTCGAAGATACAAGATCCAAAGAAAGATCAAGGTTAGTAATTCTTCATTAGAATCGTTGCCTCGTGCGCGGTATTATGGCCGTCGCTTTGGTTCCTCGTGGGTCCATGTGCTTTTGATATTTCGTCACGATAGGACCGATCTTTTGTACCCTTGGACATTACTTTTCTTCAATTTTACTGTCGAGTTCGTCATATGCGCTAGCGGTAAACGTATTTAAATAGAAATTGTGTTCCCACTTTTCATATTTCTTGCACATCGTCAACAATTTCACATGCCGCATAGTACGGGGTTCATTTTGTATCGTAAAAATAGATTTTTCCAATGGTGACCCCACGTGTTGCTCGATGAATAATTTTCTTGAAATTTTTTGATTTATTATGAAAATCTTATCTTAACGATACAATGAATAACGATGTTAACATTTCACGAGAATATGTACCTCTGAATAAAAAGTATTCATATATCACAACATTGAGTAGGCAGTTCTATTAATATTTTTGTTGCATATAATCGATATACTGTCTTCAAATTATGTTAATATATGTGTATGTGCTTTATAAATAAAATAGACAAATTTATACATAAATATAATTTTTTTTATATATAGAAAATATTGAACAGAATGAAATTAATGAGTTATTATTCCTAATGTATGATTTTTTAAATAAAGAAACATTTTTATATGGTACTCTTGAATGTAATTTTTGACAACACACTAAAAGGAACACTAGTGTTAAATTGACAAGATAGGTTTAATTCTTATACTAACCTAACAAATATTTCTATTATTTTATTAGGCGAGAAGAAACCACCACAAGTAAGAACTAGTGGAGGAGATCGCAATGTTAAATTCTCTGGAGACAACAGGGAAGAACGTTATAACAGACGTAATCGTGAAGAAGGTGAGCGTACACCTCGACCACAAGGAGAAATAAGACGTGGACCTCCTGGGTTTGTATTATGATAAAACAAATAAAATATTATATGCATATAGATGTATATGTTTTTATGTGATATTGCAATTTATTAGCGAGGGACGTGAGACGAGAGAATTCCGAAATTCTAATGATACTCAACGTGGAGACTATGCCGAGCGTAGAGGACGTGGTGGAATGCGTGGGATGAGCCGCGGACGTGGTGGACCACGTGGCCGAGGAGGATATGATAATCGTGGAAAACGTGAATTTGATCGCCAGTCCGGTTCTGATAAAACGTAATGAACATTTCATAGCTAATTTCAAATAATGCATTTTATAAATTTTATTTAATTAATTACAAGCGTATCTGTGAACAGCGGGATTAAACCAGTAGACAAAAAAGATGGTGCTGGTAGCCATAATTGGGGTACTCACAACGATGAAATTGAGTAAGTTGTACAATAAAAGCATTTTGTAACTTATCAAAGATATCTCTAATGTAGAAAAAAAATGAATTGTGAATTCTTTTCTGGAAACTCTTAGAGAAAGTTTGAACCAAGAGAGTCAGGATTGGCCTAATGAGAAACCTGAAGGTGATGCTCCTCAAGCATCTCCGGAAACAAAAGAAGGCGAAACAAGCACGGATACAACTGAGGAAAAGCCTGTCGAAGAGGAATCTCGTGAACTGACATTGGATGAATGGAAGGCTCTCCGTAATAATAGAGCAAAACCACAGTATAATTTACGCAAAGCTGGAGAGGGTGAGGACATGACTCAATGGAAGAAAATGTATGCGCTACAGAAAAAGAAGGAAGGTGCTGAAGACGATGACGATGATGAAGAAGAATATGATGCAGCTGCAGAATATCCTCAGCGGGTTGGAAGACAGAAACGTGTACTAGGGATTGAGATACAATTCAGTGATTCCCGACGCGGTTCTGGTGGACGTGGTAAAGGACGAGGAGGCCGTGGAGAACGTGCCAGTGGTCGTGGATTTGGAAATCGTGGTGGAGCTCCTAGAGATGGAGATACACGCGGACCCGTAAGTGTTTTTATTAATTAAATGTACATTATATATATAAATGTACATTATATATATATTTATGTAACAGTAATATATTTTACATAATTTAATTTTTTAGCCTGCGCAATCTGAGCAAAGGTCGCCCCGAAGGCGTCAGAATGCTCCGAAAGTAGACGATGAGAACGACTTCCCCTCATTAGGATAGATGGTTTCGTTTATCATCAACACACTGTCCCACCATTACCACCACCATCAGTACTACTACCACAGATAAAATTACCACTATTACTAAAAAAATATTACTATCAACATTTTTGCATCAGTGAAAACGTTAATGCATAATACAATATCTTCGACGCAAAACATTATTCGTACTATCAGGAATGCGGGAAGTTATCTAGGCAACGAAAGAGTCTAGTGTTTTTTCAAGTATTTATGATTGTACAGAGAAGTTTCGTCGCGTCAAGGTACACCCTTGCAAAATGAGATACGTAATTACTATGAATAAAAGAAACGTGGCGCTTGAACGCGCTTTTGCATATTGGTACATTGACGCAAACTTAAAGAAAAAATGTCGCATGATATGTATACTATAGATCACGATCCTTTTTTTGTACTTGTAACAAATCAGTTTGTCCATAACTAGTATCCAGGGGCTAGTTGACAGATAAACAGTAACAAGAACGAGGCTGGATGTTCATGGACTTGTTAGTAATTGTGGATTTAATTAATACTAGACTAAAACGTATGGATGAAAGACTTCAAGCGGACCAGCAGGAATGTAATATCAAAAAGATATATTCACTTTACGATGACAGTTTGATGCTGCTTAAATCCGTGTGAAATCAGATAGTCCCGAACTGGAAATGAAATATATATATTCCATCTTCTACACAAGAAGAAGTTGAGGCGTTCGCCTTGATTTTAATTTTGATGTCGTATATCAAAGGCCTAAGGAGGCTGGCCATAGCACCGACTCTCGAGAACACGTGTATAATAACTTGTTAGGTGGTAAATTTTAAACATTCTTTCTGTTTTATAATTTTTATACGGTGTTAGGAGAAGCCTTCCTTGTAACTGACAAGTCGTCGCTTGTCTTACGTAAAACATAAGAGACTTTTTAAAGCGTGTATTTCTATCTGAAGAAATAGTATTTCTAAGTAGACACTTTTAATATCAGATATGTGTCTTTTCTTTTTCTTCAAGGAAAAGCAGATGTCTAATATCAAAAGTGTCTACTTAGAAATACTAAATTTCGCTTATGTAGAACTATAGAGATTTTTCCTTTGAAAGATGTAACCGGTCTGTAAGAAATTTAACATTTAAGGATATATTAGACACACTGATACACAGCTTTACCTATATATTGTATAACGAATTTAAGAGAGCGCGATCGAGACACGTTGAGAGGGGCGATAGAATGAATCCAGTCTTATTATAGTTACGTTATACGTCAATCATCATGTTCTATAACTCGCTACATTAGTTATCTATTGTATTTGTTACATGTAAAATGAACAATACCTACAGCCAAATGAAACAAAATTCAAACCCTTTCCATATGAAAAAAGAAAAAAAACGTTATAAAGCTGTTCGAAGCTTAGGTATATGTGTAAATAACATATTTACAGTAATAAATTGTGACCGTTCGAGTCACTTTGGACTTGACTACTTAACCAGTCGACTTACGAAAGAAAGATAGAAAAGGTTTTTATTTGTGTAGTATGTAAAGAATGTGAGTACAAAAGAGAGGAAGCATTGAGAAATGTGTACCATCTTACATCGAAGCCTTTTGTTTTGAGGCGTGATGAAAATTGGGCGTCACTGAAAGCTATGGAAAAACGGTAAATATGAGGTGCTGTACCCAATAAAGTTATGAGTCAAATTTCATTGTGAAATATATTATTATAATATATATATATATTAACAACACAGCATCATGTATTAAGGAAGATAAAGATAATAAGTTAGGGTTTTATTTTTATAAAAAAAAATTCATTCATACTTCTCCGCTTGAACGTCCTGAACTTTAGAATAGGAGCATCCATCATGTTCTTTTTTTCAAATTTAGTGCCGCTCAAAGTTAGTGCGAAGACGGCCATTTTGCTAATTTCAGATTTGTGTTACTATAGTATTTTCTTCCCATAAGTTAAATTTATTTTGTGCATTGTAGACTCATTTACCGTGCCCATTTCGATCTCACTAATTTATTTGCGATCAAAATTGACCATAATCATTGCCCGTTTGGCTGTAATTTGACGGAAATTTCAACGATCAAACATGGTAAAGGCTTTTGCCCATTCAAGAGAAGGTTCAAACATTTAGCCACAGGGGAGCGCTGCAGTGGCTTCATGTAGCAGGGAGAAAGAAAAGGAAAGTCGAAAGGAGAGAGTGATGGAACTAGCCAAGAAGAGACACTGAACCGTGGGAAAAGCGCGACGAGAGCGCGGCTGATGGAACGATCACCCAAGAGAGAAAGAGAAGGAGAGAGAGAGAGAGCAGAAAAGAAAGAGAGAGAGAGATAATGAACAAGCGGCGCATGCCGTAGCGTAGCCACGGCCCCCAACTTGCTCTAAACTCGTGCAGCCTGTCGCGCTGTCGGTCGAATTTTAATGGCGGCTCATTCCGATCTTCTCTGTTTAGTAGTGTTGTTATAAAGCGGCGGACGATATTTGTACACCTTTATATGTTACCCAGGGGAACGATAGGAGGTTCCAGTGAATCTCTGTGCTCGGTGTTTCGTCAAGTCCGAGGACTTGTATCGGGCCTTGTATCAAGGACATGGTGCATATCCGCGATGTGTCGTAGCGACCCTCGCGTACGAACATTCCATCGTGCGGTCGTGTTATACGCTTTAGCTTTTTCATGAAAAACGCCGATCGCTAGAGGTACAAATCAAGGGGTGTACAGTTTCATGTATTATTTAATCTATGGAACGTATGTGGGTTCGTCGTAAAAACTGACAAGAACTGCACGGGCTGACCGATGATCATATCAGAACAAACGAATCGAAGCTGCGAGCTTTTTTCATCCCGGAGGTAATTCTTTTTCTTTTTAAACGACCGTTCATATTGCGTATCCCAGCTAATGCAGACATATTCGATTTATTTGCGTGTTTTATTCGACAAAATCAACTAGTTTGACTAACTCGCTTATGTGCGCGTTATTGCTAGCCGATAATCGACAGGGAGCAGAATATCCTTGCCTTTGTGCGAAGACACTGGTCTTAGCTGTCAAGTGCAGCTATGCTGCTCACACTAATGAAGGGCGGTGTGTGCATCGGTGTTACTCGAAAAGTGTGGAGCCATCTGTCCTACCCTGATATCGTCGTCGGGATGTTTTAATACCGAAATCGGTCAGTGTACACATTATTTATGTTTCTCATAATTTCCCTTTGGATTTATTCTGACTCATTCGTGTTTCCATCGCACATATAAAATTGCTTTTTATTATTAAAAAATAACACAATTCACTTGATGCACAAACACCTAAGGAATTTCGGAATTTCCATTTTTCATGAAATTTCTGGGATCAGTAACAAAAGTATTTTTCATGTTGAATTCGAATGTTTAAAGTTCAAACGTAAACGTTTTCTTTTTGCTAAACGTGTACAATTTCTTCAACATTTCATTTCGTTTAAGATTTTTTATATTGACATAGTATACAATGAGATAATTATTTAATAGTCTATACTTCAAGCTATTTACTATAGATTCATATTATTGATGTTGGTTTCAATTATTAAGTCACGTTGTTAATACAATTAAGAAATCTTTTGAAACCTTCTCCACGAATTTTTCGACTTTTTCATAGAGGTATTATGATATTGCAAACATTATCATATATGTAAATATCGCAATGCAATTTCTGTATTCTGTATATACATATCAGTATGCAGAAATTTTCTGATTCTTAATAAAATCCAAATCCAGATATGATTAATAAAACTATAACTCATTTGTTACATCAAGTGCATCAGTTTTATCTAGAGATTGGTAAGATGCAAAAATGAAGCTTTTGTGAATGATAAAAATATATTTTCTCATTTTATGTAGTTTGAAGTTATAGAAATTACACCGTGTAACTCTATTTTTGTTTAATAAATGTTGTCGCTTTTCACATTTTTCAGGGGTACCAGGCAACAAGCATCATGACAGTGCCTGGATATATATGCACCTGGTAGTTTTGCAATAATACTGGTTCTCTACCAGTTGGACTTACAACCTTATTATACCTTCTACGCTTCCTACCCTAGATTTGTACACGCACAAACGCACACGCATAGCGTGTGTGCATGTGCTTTGTAAACTACTGTCCCCACATCATGAGATTCTTGGGATTTGTATCATTTTCGACTTCGCCTATGATATCGTCATCTCCTAAGCTGCTACTGCAGTTGCATCGATTATCCTTTTCATCCATGTCTATTGCCACATGGTTTCTGGTAGTACTGGTAACTGCAGCCATAGACACACCTATGAGTACCACTCCTCCTGTACAAGAAAACAGATCTCTACATGTGATAGCACAATTTCCTGCGGGAGATGGTCAACGATATGAATTTTATCCACTAGACCCAAATGCAACGAGAGAAGGTGCCCTCCGATTTAATCACCTTACTATAGACCCTGCTACAGGAAGACTCTATGCAGGTGCCATTAACAGACTATTACAGTTAGATTCTAATTTGAGACTGGAAGAATATGTTTTTACAGGTCAGCTATTATTCCACAGTTATTTTTATTCTTATAAAAAGGTTGCTAGAAAATAACTGATGTTCATTTATCCTTTTCAGGACCAAGATTGGATAATCCTCAGTGTCATGCATCAGGATGCCCTTCTAGAGACATAACAACGTCTCTAATGGATAGTGTGAATAAATTATTAATCGCTGACGTCGAATCACAAATGTTAATCGCTTGTGGTTCTCTCCTTCAAGGTGCTTGCGAGAAGTACAAAATGTCTAACATATCCATTAAACCGGAATTCATCCCCCATAGTGTAGCAGCAAACGATGAAACTTCCTCCACGTATGCTTTTATTGGACCTGAAAGATACAATGCATGGAGTCAGACAAATATTCTGTATGTCGGCACTACATTTACTAACAGAGGGGACTACAGACACGATGTGCCCGCAATTTCTAGTAGAAATCTGCACAGTCTAGAGTTCGCTGAATACACGTTTAACAAGCAGTCAATAGTATATATTGATGTAAAATATCGAGATCATTTTCTGGTCAAATATGTGTATGGTTTCAATGCAAGTGACTATGCATATTTTGTATTGGTGCAAAAGAAATCCTTTCTTCCCGAAGAAGAGGAAAGGGGCTATATCTCGAGATTGGCTCGAAGCTGTATCAGCGATCCAAACTACGATAGTTATACAGAAGTGACATTGGAGTGTACTGTAGACTTCGGAGATGGAAAGCAACATTATTATAATTTAGTTCAAGATGCGAAAGTTGCACCAGCTGGGAGCGATATAGCATTACAACTTGGAATTTCCGTTGGCGACCCTATCTTTGTCTCTGTGTTTTCACCCAGCAGAAGTATAACCAACGAGCCACTATCGCGTTCAGCAATTTGCGTATATAGTTTACAAGATATTGAAATGAAATTTAACGAAAATATTCACATGTGTTTCAATGGTAGCATTAAATACAGAAACATGGGTTATGTCAGTGGCCCCATACAGGATGGAAAGTGTCCTATAGCAGGAGTAAGTAAAAATGTAATAGCATATTGTTTTTCACTTCTAATATTGATTTTGTTATGTCTTCTTTGCTAATTTTCCATTTATTTCGAACTCAGACAACAGGTAACATTTTGAACTTCTGCGAAGTGGGTTTAAAAATCTCTGGATCTTCACCGATTGTGGGACAAGCAATTTTACATTTTCCCGATGAGTTTATTACCTCTGTAACAATAGCCAACACAGAAAGTCATACCGTAGCTTTTCTGGGCACTAACGAAGGCGTTCTTAAAAAAGTTTTACTCTCGGGAACTGAAACGTTTGAGTACGAGAGCATTGTGATCGATAAAGGAAACAGAATTATGCCAGATAGTTTAATTTCACCGGACGGAAAGCACATTTACATTCTATCGAGTTCGAAAATTTCGAAGGTTCAAGTAGAGCATTGTAACAGCTACACCAATTGCAGCAGCTGTCTCGATGCAAAAGACCCCTACTGTGGTTGGTGTTCTCTAGAGAAAAGGTATTTTATTTTACAAAACTTTACTTATCCATGCTTTTGCTTGTTACATTGATATAATTTCAATTTGTGTTTTACAGGTGCACCGTTAGAGGAGATTGTCAAAAGGCGAGTCACAGCAGTCCAAGGTGGCTGTCTTTGGGCACAGGCCAGCAGTGTATTGATTTCGAACAAGTTCTCCCGGACCGTATGCCTATCAATCAAATGACTACAGTTCATTTGACTATCAGAACTCTGCCCGAATTACCAGCAGGTGCTAACTACAAGTGCGTGTTTGGTAACGCGGAGCCGATCGACGCGTTAATGACCGGTTTTGGATTGTCGTGTCCTACACCGCCCGCTGCGGAGAGACCTAATATACCCGAAGGAGCTGATCATGTCCTGGTACCACTCTCTGTACGTTCCAGCGAGACAAACAAAGACTTTGTATCACGGAATTTCGCCTTCTTTGATTGCTCCAGGCACACAATGTGCACCGAATGTGTAAAATCGCAGTGGCCCTGTAGTTGGTGTGTATACGATAACAAGTGTACGCACAATACCAGCTGCCAGGGAATTATTTCAGGAGAGAACGTGAGTATCTTTTACACGTGCTACTATAAGCATTTACGAAATAATTTATACGTAACGAATCTTTGCATTTCCAGAATCAGGCTCATCTAGCTGCGCACGGAGTACAGTATTGCCCAAGATTCGTCCAACGCAAGGAACCCTTGATGTTACCAAACAGCGTACATAAGGAGATAGTACTCGAGGTGGAGAATTTACCTCATCCTCAAGTTGGTCACAGCGGCTTCCAATGCATCGTTACAATTGAGGGTGCGCACATGAAAGTCCAGGCCCGTGTCGACAGCAGTCGTTTCATAGTTTGTGATAAGACGGTTTATTCGTACGAAGCGGTTACCGGTGAATGCGAGGGGGAGGTGACGGTCGTCTGGAACACGAATCATCACGTCGATAAGACTACGATTAAGCTCTACAAGTGTGAAGTGTTGGGTTCCCATCGGGAACACGCAGATTGTTCCCTTTGCGTGACCAGGGACGCCCGTTTCGAATGCACATGGTGCAGTAATAGTTGCGTGTACAGACACTCGTGTCTTCATTCACCATTCACTGAGTGTCCAAAGCCGAGAATAGACATGATAAAACCGCTCAGTGGACCGATCGAGGGTGGAACGTTGGTAACAATCGAGGGCAGCAACTTGGGATTGAAAGAGAGCGACGTGGAGGGAAAGATACACATTGGAAACACTCCTTGCATTTTAGTCGACTACGAAGTTTCCGTACGCATAGTTTGTCGCACTGGACGCCACGAAGCTACCGACACAGCTTCCGTGGTGGTCGGCAACGATGCTGGTTACACCGAGAGCGCGGTTCTATTCAATTACAAAGATATACACCTGTCCGGTGTCTATCCATCAGTTGGCCCACAAAGCGGTGGCACGCAACTCGCAATCACCGGCATGTACTTGAACATTGGAAGCACCATCTCAGCCTATTTGGACGAGTTACCATGCCATGTAAACGCTACGCAAGCTAGCAGCACCAGATTGACCTGCGTGACCAGTAAATCCGACCGAGTCAGAAAAGTAGAAAGACTGACGTTGAGTATAGACGGAGCTAACCGGACTTTAATCGGTAACCCTTACAACTACACTCATGACCCCACCATCATGGAGATCAAGCCACTGACAAGCTTTGCCTCGGGTGGCCGTATGATTACCGTTCATGGTACTAACTTAGACACTATACAGAAACCAGAGATGGAAGTTTACTTTGACAATGAACCGTTACCGATTAACAGAACAGTTTGCACCGTGCTCAATCCTAACCAGATGGAGTGTCCAAGTCCCAGCGTTGCCGCACGATTTATGTCCCTGAGACGCAACAAGCGAGCGGCTGTCACTGGCCAAGGCACACCGGTGCAGTCATTGAAGCTGAAAGAGTCTCAATTGTCTCTGAGGATAGCTTTCATTATGGACAACGTGGAGAGCGTAAGAGACTTGGACAAGCATTTTCAGAATCTTAGGAGCCGGTTGCTGTACGTTGAAGATCCCAAGTTCCTCGCGTTTCCGCGAAACATTAAATTGTACAAGGGCGACACGTTAGTTATTGAAGGCGAGAACCTGATATTTGCTAGCGATGAATCCGATGTGAACGTTACGGTGGGAACAATGCCCTGTAACGTGACTTCGCTCGCGTCCACTCAATTAGTCTGTATACCACCTGATCAGCAACCCGCGGATACAGATGAGCTTGGAATTAAGACTGAAGATGGCTTGCCGTTGGTTGTTGTGAGGGTAGGAAAAAGTTTGCGGTTTCCTATTGGACATCTTCGATATGAAGTAATAAAATCTTACCCAATTCCACCGGAGGCAATCGCTGGGATCGCGGCTGGTACATTCAGTCTGGTGTTTCTGTTTGTTTTGGTCTTAATCATTTATAGAAGGAAGAGCACACAGGCAGAGCGGGAGTACAAGAGGATACAGATACAGATGGACACGCTCGAGAGCAACGTCAGGATGGAATGCAAACAGGCGTTCGCTGAGCTGCAAACGGATATGACCGATTTAACAGCCGATCTGGAATCTTCCGGTATTCCTACCTTGGACCACAAAAATTACATCATGAAAGTATTTTTTCCTGGTGTCACGCATCATCCTATATTGAATGATCCAAGATCCCGCAGCAACGCTTCTCGTACAAACTACGACGCTGCTATGATCCAATTCGAGCAGCTTATAAACAACAAGTACTTCGTATTAACGTTCATAGAAACTCTGGAAGCCCAGAAAGACTTTAATATTAGGGATAAAGTGAACGTCGCGTCTCTACTGATGGTGGTTTTGATGGGGAAGATGGAATACGCGACCGACATACTGATGAATCTTTTACTGAGACTGATCGAAAAAGCCGTGAACACCAAACACCCGCAGCTGATGCTGAGGAGGACAGAGTCTGTGGTCGAGAAAATGTTGACCAACTGGATGGCGCTATGTATGTACAATTATCTAAAAGACTATGCAGGTTCCTCGCTGTTTTTACTTTTCAAGGCGATCAAGCATCAAATTGAGAAAGGACCTGTGGATGTGATAACCCACGACGCCAGATACTCCTTGTCTGAGGAGAGGCTGCTCCGTGAGCAAATCGAGCACAGCGTTGTGACATTGCACGTGGTTCAAGATGATCTCGACGAGAAGATACAGTGCAAGGTTTTGGATTGCGACACTATAAATCAAGTGAAATCCAAGATTCTAGATGCTCTCTATAAGAATACTCCTTTTTCACTGAGGCCGTCCGTGCACGATGTAGATCTGGAATGGCGACACGGTAGGGGTGGTCATTTGACTCTTCAAGACGAAGATCTTACGACAAAGTGCAGTGGAGAGTGGAAGAAGATTAACACTCTGGCGCACTATGGCGTGAAAGAGTCGGCGGTGATGTCGCTAATACCAAGGCAGAACGACGGGTTCTCGGTCGCTTGCAAACCGCCCTGCCACAACTGCAAACCGTCACATTATCATCATCAACAGCAAGCGGTTCACCATCATTCGCATCACCATCACTTGCACCGGCACGCGAATCATTGTTCGTCCACGCATCTTCCATCCACACCTAATCACAATCTAATCAGTCCTATAATGTACAATCATCCTGTTAGCGGTATGTATTTCGAATCACAGCACTCGCCGCCAATCATCACGGCGAACGGCGATGTGGAGGCCGGTCACGGTGGCAATCAACGACTGTATCATTTAGTAAGGCCTATAGAGGACAGCCAGTACATGCCGGGAATGGGTTTCACTGGTAGCAAACACCACCATCCCGAACGAACACACAAAGCCATACCAGAAATATTTTTAACGAGACTGTTATCGACGAAGGGCACCGTCCAGAAATTCGTGGACGATTTCTTGAACACGATATTGTCCGCAAACGAGGCTCTGCCCAGTGCCGTGAAATGGCTATTTGACCTTCTCGACGAGGCTGCCAAACAGCACGGCATCGTCGATCCCGAAGTGCCCCACGCATGGAAATCGAACAGTCTGCCACTTAGATTTTGGGTGAATTTCATTAAGAATCCAGACTTCATGTTCGATATCAACAAATCGACGACGGTCGACTCGAGCCTCTCCGTTATAGCACAAACATTCATGGACTCGTGCTCGATGACGGAACACAGGCTAGGAAAGGATTCACCATCGAACAAGTTGCTCTTTGCAAAGGACATACCGCATTACCGAGAAAAAGTCGGCCGTTTCTACACGGACGTGCAGAGACTGCCGCAAATCACCGATCAGGAAATGTCTAGTGCCATGCAACAGTTAAGTGCGTCGCATGCTAACGAATTCGACGTGATCGCTGCGCTGAAAGAACTTTACATCTATGTCAGCAAGTATTATGAACAAGTAGGTATTCGCGGTAGCTTATATTCTTCTTCTCTGTTCTATACTGTGGTATACACAACATTATTTTAAATTGATTATAGGCTGATAGTTGGAAAGTTGTTTTGTTTTGTACCATGATTGAATCATTATTATGATGAACTTGTCTGTTGTAGATCCTAGAGGCCTTGGAGACAGACGCTGGCTGTCGCAAATTACACTTAGCCCACAGGCTAGAGAACGTAGCGTGCACACTGGAAGGAGAAGAGACCAGTGCCTGCTGACACAACCTGCTCATTGCCATCCCAGGACCCGTCAATCTCTCCAAAAACACTGACTAGTGCCTCCACTTCATATGCATCAGATACACCTCGTTACATATGTACAAATCTTACACGCCGTGTGAATAACAATGCCGTAAATACGTGCGATTTCGTTAAGGCTAGTCAGGCGATAGTTCTGCAGGATAAATTAGTCCTGGTGTAGTAATTTGCGTCTTTATGGTCATGGCCATATCGAAATACGCTCGTGCACACGTACAGATATTAGCGAACGGTGAAATAATGCAGACTCCAATCCTTAAACACGATTTGTTTCTTATTAATATTGTATATTCCATTTATATATATATATATATATATATATATATATATATATATATATATATATATATATATATATATATATATATATATATATATATATATATATATATATATATATATATATATATATATATATATATATATATATATATATATATATATATATATATATATATATATATATATATATATATATATATATATATATATATATATATATATATATATATATATATATATATATATATATATATATATATATATATATATATATATATATATATATATATATATATATATATATATATATATATATATATATATATATATATATATATATATATATATATATATATATATATATATATATATATATATATATATATATATATATATATATATATATATATATATATATATATATATATATATATATATATATATATATATATATATATATATATATATATATATATATATATATATATATATATATATATATATATATATATATATATATATATATATATATATATATATATATATATATATATATATATATATATATATATATATATATATATATATATATATATATATATATATATATATATATATATATATATATATATATATATATATATATATATATATATATATATATATATATATATATATATATATATATATATATATATATATATATATATATATATATATATATATATATATATATATATATATATATATATATATATATATATATATATATATATATATATATATATATATATATATATATATATATATATATATATATATATATATATATATATATATATATATATATATATATATATATATATATATATATATATATATATATATATATATATATATATATATATATATATATATATATATATATATATATATATATATATATATATATATATATATATATATATATATATATATATATATATATATATATATATATATATATATATATATATATATATATATATATATATATATATATATATATATATATATATATATATATATATATATATATATATATATATATATATATATATATATATATATATATATATATATATATATATATATATATATATATATATATATATATATATATATATATATATATATATATATATATATATATATATATATATATATATATATATATATATATATATATATATATATATATATATATATATATATATATATATATATATATATATATATATATATATATATATATATATATATATATATATATATATATATATATATATATATATATATATATATATATATATATATATATATATATATATATATATATATATATATATATATATATATATATATATATATATATATATATATATATATATATATATATATATATATATATATATATATATATATATATATATATATATATATATATATATATATATATATATATATATATATATATATATATATATATATATATATATATATATATATATATATATATATATATATATATATATATATATATATATATATATATATATATATATATATATATATATATATATATATATATATATATATATATATATATATATATATATATATATATATATATATATATATATATATATATATATATATATATATATATATATATATATATATATATATATATATATATATATATATATATATATATATATATATATATATATATATATATATATATATATATATATATATATATATATATATATATATATATATATATATATATATATATATATATATATATATATATATATATATATATATATATATATATATATATATATATATATATATATATATATATATATATATATATATATATATATATATATATATATATATATGTAATATACATGTGTGTGTATATTCAGTATATGTATGTATGAATATATATAACATATATGTGTGTATATTCAGTATGTATATTCATATATGTATGTATATTCATATATATTCACGAATATATACATACATATATTTGCATTGAATTGCAAAGAATTGAGAAACTACACGTTCGATTATTTATTGCATCATCGGAGGAATATTTCTATTATATTTCATCGGTGATGCGTCTAAGTATTGATCGCGTACATGTTTAAGGATTCGAGGTTGCAACCCTGTGCAAGATACATTTAATAGAGAAAGACATGGGAAGAATACAAGACTCATGACAATTTCAATTTCTTGTTGGCCGAATGTCTATACGTGTATACGTAAATACGGAACAGAGAACGTAACGTAATTAAGGGGGGAAATAATGTGTAAAAGTAAGTGAAAAAGCCATAGTGTCCACCAGACTGTCTGTACAAAAGGAGTACGGCAGCGAGTAGTCTGTGATCCGAGCACTAGTGGCTATGCCTACTATCTTCATTACGCTTTATATATAATGTGTATATATTATATATAAAGCAAAGATCACGCAACGTACGCCTCCACGGATTGTAGTGAGCTAGTTAGAGAGGGTCTATATATGTATTATAAGTTTGAAGGGAAGCAAAGACCCCTTTCAAAGAGAATAAGAGATAACATTAAAGTAAGATAATTAAAATAATGTTAACACAGAGAAGAGAATTGAAGAATTAAGAATTACAAGCGAGCGAGAGGGAAAGAAAGAGAGAGAGAGAGTGAATGAGTTTAACTACACTAGGCCTATCTACACAAGTTCATTATGTGAAAGAAACAATTTTCGTTTTAATGGAATAATTCTTCGTCTCACACAGGATAATTTTTTTACGACTTTTTTTATGGATTATACTTATTATCGCTCGTACTAGTGCTATGTTGTATTATTATCTATATATAATACGTACACATCACGGTCTGATAGACAAACGAAAATGCAACGTTTACGAAAGAATTGCTAGACTTTTTCGGTCATTCGAAATGAATTGTAAAAAAGGAAACGATTTTGTATGCACCGATGTTCTTTTGTCTTTTTAACATTTGGTCGGTGTATACCATGAGTCGAACGCACCGAAAAACGAACATTAATTGAACGATGAGACAACGATGAACAGTATTTCTTGGAATTACACCTTCATTATTTTGTATTTGTATGAGACTTCTGATTTTCAGTGTTGCATTTTGATCGGTAGGGGGAGGGGGCATTGCCCTTTGTATACTAGTTATTCCAAGCAAAGCTGTGAAATGTTGATAAACAATTGAATTCACTGCCTACCGCACACTGCCAAGTTTTTCCGTATGCTTCGACGAACTATTTAAACTCTATTAGAAAAATATTATTTGACAGTACTATGTTCTAATAGCGTTGGTCTGGGAAGACTGGGGACACGCTCACACTCGTTTGTACTTAATTAACGTTCTCTTGTGTATTTTTCAATTACTGTAACAAGCCCCCAGGTTTCCCCTATTTTCTGACCAATAACCTATGTGTCTCTCTATTACGTGTATTGTGTTTATTTATATTACGATGAACAGATTAGCTCCATGAGAGAATTGTACGTCAATCTGTCCTATGTGATTTAACGTAACAGGATTCTTCATTTTTTTGTTTTGTTTAATTTTACACTTATACACAAACATTGCACACGAAGATCGCATGCATATTTCTGTACTTGTTCTCTGATCTTCTCTGTTACAAACTCTCAGAAATCAACGGTTAGAAACCGTGTAATAATTTAATTTCCTATACACGGTAATCTTTCCAGTGAGCATTTTACAGAAAATGTTTATTACGAACAATAGAGAAATGATAATAGAATGAACGAGTCAATCAAATGCGAAGACATTAACTATGAATCCATGACTATACAACTTTACTCTGTTATCATTTCCATTTCATTATATTCTAAACATTTTTTATATGTATTTAAAGTAGTGGTTAGTAAGTGGATAATCTCGATTCTCTTGTATATTGAATATATGAAATAGGCGTACTTTAAGTGACGGGGAATTATTTTGCAGAATATTTTTATTTGTTGAATATATTTTTATTTGTACACTTCATTCTATTATAGAGAATATAACGATCATATTTGTTCTGTAATTTAATGCAATGTACTATACGCAGCAAACTTTCTCAGACGGAGAAGCGCGCTCTGTGTATATCATTGATTTCATTGAAATGAAAAATGAGCTGCCCAGCCAGAATCTATTAGTCATTCTACGAGTAAAGGTATTATTTTTCGCGCAGCCATGTCTGTGAGAAAAGCAAGCGAATTATGCCGCTTTTGTGTAAAAAATGAATGTATAGAGGTACTGATGAAAACATGGACTATATTTATAAAAACACCAAGTATATTCTTCTTCTACTTTATGTGTAGAGTGCAATTCATACCGAATATATAGGGATTTTAAACAATCAAGAAAATACTTGTCTTTCCAAAATATTAGAAAATATTATTCATACAACAGGTCCTTTGATTTTTTCTTTATTGTATTTGTAAAATAGTCCACACGGAATGTGTATTTTTTCGATTGTACTGTACTGTCGGATAGTCTTCCTACATTGAATAAGATTATAATCTGTAAAACTACTTTTATCATTCATTCGAAGTAACGTACTTGTTTCTATAAGTCTGATAATCGCGATTTCGCGACGTAAATATTTATGTTAAAGTAAAGTATACTATGCAAATAATGTATTCTTTATACACAGTTTAGTTGTAAACTGCATTAAATTCTTTTTTCTTTTTTTTAATTCCGCCATTTTTCTGCCAAGTTATCTGATTTGAATGCCCACAAAATGGAAAAACTTATTTTAAGTGTAACTTAACTCAATCTCCCCGTATATTGCAGTGATTTTAGAGTACCGCTGTTTCAACGCTGACTTTTATATGTTTTCCAATTAGACTCGAATGATTTATATATTTTTAGCCAATTGTATGTGTACATATTTAAAGGAACGTGCTGCAAACCTTGAGATTGCGTAAACGATACATGTACATTCCAGAAAACGTTTCCAAATATTCATCAGCGTTGCCATATTAATATAATATTTTTCTATTACTGAATAATATTCAGAAATAATTTGCATTTTTAACAATAGCAAACACTTTACTAGAGTCTTATAGTTGACGTTGGATAGAACTATAAATCTGTGGAAATAGTATGTTATGTCCACAATGAAAGAATCAGTTGCTCAGAGGGCATGAACAAGTCGTTCACTTACGCGATTGTTTATAGCGCAGATTGACGTACGCCTATGTGCGCACATATTTATGTATACATCTCGTTATTTATCCACAGAATCAGAATTCTATGGATTTCTGAGAATTGTATGTGGTACATTCTTAAAAAAATAATGGTTCGTTTCAGAGGTTCTTGCAAATATCTATAATGTATGATACACGAGGTGCATCATACGTTCGAGCGCAGTCCGATGGAAGGTCGTTGCAACAGGCTGCATTTTTTGACGCGTGTATGCACATACAAATTTCGACGAAATTCTGCTGCGTTTGTTCCAGTAAAAAAAAACTTGGAAAATCAAAGTAAAGGAATTCATTCGATATCGATCGTCGAGATGATAATTTTTCGTGGATCGTCCATCATTAAGAAAAATAAAAAAAAGTTTATTTTGTTAATTAGTTCGAGCGTGACGATGCTTCGATAACGTAATAGAATTTCCCGATATTTCGTATACGCTCGACAGTCGACTCCATCCATCTGAAAAGCTTGTCAATTCTGCATTCAACGTATGTATTGTATTGTAATTAAATTGAAGGGATGTTTCAGCGGTTTACAAGTCGAATTAGTATGTCATGCTTCGTAGTATAGACGGACCCGCGCGTTGCGTCGAGTTAAAATTATTCTTTGTTAAGGCTTCGGAAACGATGGGGGGATGATCTTTGTGTCCTGGAAGAATAGACTTAAGTGTATTCGTGTTCGGGGGCGAGCCGTATGGAAATAATATATAATGCAGGGACGTCTTTAATCCCGCGAATCTCGAGTGTATCTTTTTCTCGTTACGTAGCCAACACGTAATGTGTGTATGTAGAACTAAGGGCGAGGGCGATATGATAAACCCTTGAAACCTGTAATTTGTTCGTTAGTATCCATAGCGAACTCGTACAATTTATTATACAATTCATTCTCGTTCTAGAAATCTGTAATTGAGTGATATATAACAATACACAAATTTTAATTAGCTCTTATAGAAATTATTTTCTCGAAGGGTTTATCAAATCATTTCTACCGGAAGTGTGCGACACTGCTTTTCCCGTATCTGCGTGAATGTGAATTTATTAATGTATGTGTGTGTACGGAAAACAACAATCCCTCTGTAAATAATACTCAACCCCCCATCTCACATATAAATAGGTTTTAAGCGACACGTGAGAACGAAATGACTCTTGCCAAATTTTCAATGGGACGTAGGGACAAACAAATAAGCATTTGGAAAATTGCAAAAATATATTGGTATTATAAATGAATTTGATCCTTGAAATACCTGTGACCGATCATGATGGTTGTTAAAAAGAAACATTTTTCCGTGTGAACTATATTTGTATTTAAGTCGAACATACATCTGTACCAAAAATTCTATTCTTCTAGCTTTAAAAACTATAAATAACAAGTCACGTATCGCGGTCCTTACAATTTTCTTTTGAAATCGTAACAGCGGTTGGCTGGATATAAAATTGATATTCTTCGTTCAATGATTATTCATGTTCTCTTTGGCATTAAACGATCCATTGTTTTTTCGTTGACTATATTTCCGACGTTCACTGTATTTTCTACTACTCTCTTCAATCGGTTGATCGCTTACAGTTGTCTCGTAAAGATTTGTATTATAACATTCATTTAAGTTTCTTCTATATTATAAAATATTGTCACGATAATCTTGTGCAGAAAAATTTCATTCCACACCTGATTTTATCTTGTATAATAGAGATTTCTCCTGAGATTTAGTCGATGACAACGCTGGCAAACTGGATGAGGAGTTTTTTGAACTTTGACTATTACTTGTACTTCGTTTATCCTGCTTTGCTTTCTTCATCATGTCTTTTAATCTCCTGTCTGCACTTATTATATGAATATTAGGTGTCACTTTATTTCCACCACCTAATCAGAAAAAGAAAAAGTGATTAAACACAAACGGATTTATTTGCAATTAGTTTATGGATGAAACTTACTTGAATTAGATTTCTTCTGTTCTTTACTTTTGTTCTCTATCACTGTTTTTGGTGAACTCCTTTCTTTAGAGACCTATGGATAAAAAGGTACATTTCTTGTGATGTATCGTTCGAAAGTCATAGTTTTTTACCGAATGAAAGAAAACAATCATAGGTAGAAAAAAATAAATTATAATGCGAGTGAATACACACACCTGAGATTTTGAACAATTTGAGCAATACCAAACTAATCCTGGGACATCTATTTGCGAATCTAGTATATGTGGAACATGACATTCTTGGTGGTACAGAGAATGACACTCCAGACACTCTACGAGTCTATTCCTAGCTCCAACATCCATTCCTTTGCAAATAACACATGTCAAATCATCCTCCAATATCTCTAATGCCAAGGTGTCAGTCTGTATAATATCAGGAGGCGTGTCCCTTGTTGGTAGATTCACAGGCGAACTATTTTTACTAGATTTACTCGAGTGTTTAGAAGAAGAGCTTTTACTCTTTTTGCTACTGCTGCTGCTGTGATCGCTCAGCACTGGTTCCTCCATCATATACTGAAAACCAAGAAATGTAAGACTAATAGTTCAAAGAACAGATCATAATTAACGCATACAGAGGGATCAAGTACTGGATATCGTTTTACGTAAATGAAATCTTCTATGCTTCACGAGTACCCTGATATGAGAACTAAATCTGTAAGTACAATATTTTAGTAAATATTGATCGCTTCAACTCAAAGGAATTTTCTTGTCATCCAATATACCGCGATCAATTTTACTTTTACTCTAATTACCTTTTTATGTAGCACATTGGATAACATTTTTGATGGTCCGTACTTTTGTTTAATCGCCTCATCTAAAAGTATTCGCAATTGCTCTGCTGAATCTTTGTTAGTGGAATGTAAAAGATGTAAACCTTGAGTAAATTGGGGATCTAATTCTAACTGTGACATGTTTCAACCGGTTTGTTTAACCTGTGAAGTAGAAAATATCGTTGTAACTCTTCATTATTGGATATATGTTTGTTTTTTAGATCTTACGAAAAGTTGTAGGTTAAATTTGTGTTGTATAATTACACCACCTTGTATAAATTTATGAAACTTAAGTAAATTCAACAAGTCCGTCGATGCGAAAATATGTATGTACACGTTTTCGAGTATTATGTTTACTTATTATTTTCTATATGTATCACATTTAATAAATACGATGAATATATAGAATTTATAAAATTTAATTGAAAAATCTTAATATATAAACATAAGATATATAATCTTAAAATAACATATAACATAATGAAGGCGTTACACGAACAATTTTGCTTTCATTAGAACGAGACGGACGGATGGTAGAATTCTCAACAGTTATCAACAGTTCGAGAGAATTTTCGGTTTTCTCCTCCTCGTATTCTTGTAACCAATATCAGTGACGCGTTCACGAGTTTGCACACATAACTCGAACCCGTGAATACAAGAAGTGAAAAAGCAATTCTTATATCTTTTTAGAAATTCGGATTTTTTTCTTGTGTTACAATCGTTCCGAGTTGTACATTTTAAAAATACCGCCTCGAAAGTATAACCATATACGGGACGGTGTCGTTCCGCGTACGGTAAAAAGTAACGAAAGTGAAAAGAACCGAGAAGCACTAGGTAGCGCCGATAGGTTTGTTCCTGTCCTCTCTTGTACCACTCGTATTCCAAATTTAATTTTCGAAAGTTTTGATTCCGTGAGGAAAATGAGCTGATCCCTTGTCTAGGGAGATATCGGTGTGAAATTCGAAGTCGATGTTGGCCGCGGAACAGACAAAGGTATGCGTTCGACACGCAGATACTCGCGATAAAGGTGCGAAAGAATGGTGAAAATACAAGCAAAGAAAGGACCAAAATAGTAACCCTGCGGGCGATCGAGTGTAAGGGAACGAGTCAAGTACGGCTGGGTGCGCTCTTAGTTCTGTCCTCGTCTATCCGTTGTGGCCGCATATAAGTTGATCCTTGTCGACCCGAGGCGCGTTAAAACGATGTCTAACTTTCGACGGGTGGTTGGCAGCCGTGCGTAAAAGAAATAAATAATCAAAGCGACCATGAAGTGACAAATAAAGTTGGAGAACAATGCTTGCGAACGGCAAGGAAATCTGAGTGTAGCGTGCATTGGCCCCCGTTCTATGTTTTGGACACGTCTTACGCAGCTACAACGTGGTGTTCCCAGCGACATTAGAACCGGAGGCGCGCTATGTGCTCGCTGCGAAGACGAGGCTGACATTTCGAATATTTTTCATCGTGTTACCACCGTGGTGTGTTGGTCTTGGCTGTATCGTGTTCTTCTATCAGTCGCCCGCTGACAACCGTGATTCCTCCATGCGTAGGAATCCGATTCCGCGGTTGGCCCGGATTAAATGACTGAGAATAAGCGGAAGCGACGGCCGCCAGAACGTTTGCACGGGAAGTAACAGATCCGGACGGACATGACTTCTACGAGAAGGGTATTGTACACCGTTCTGTGAGGATTCGCTCGCACCACGGGTACCGGTCGACGGTCCTTTTTGTTGTTAACCTCAATCAACGGTTCGTGTGTGTCGTTATATCCGCGCGGAGCGGACCATAGTGGCCATGCGTCTGATTTTTCCACAGCTGACCACCGTCTGACAGAATAGTCGTTCAGTAGTCTCCAAAAATGAAAACAGAAAAGAAACCAAGCGAACCGAGTTGCGTGTCTACCACTGTAGTGAAAGAGGAGCCTGATACTGATCCAGTCAAGATCAAGGAGGAAAGTAGTGGAGCTAACAACGATGACACAACTGGAGAGGATACTGTCGAATGCCCGAGAGATCCTTGCTTGGATCCCACCAACGGGGAAAGCACACTGTCAGGAGAGAATCAAAATAATAATACCAATCAGCCAATTTTAAACTCGGTGAAGCAGGAAGGAGATCACAACAATCCCACAGATGACTTACCTGGTACGCGCAGATTTCTACTTGCGCTTTCTTGGCCGAATGTTTCTTTTATAACTATGTTATTTCTATATTGTTTCACAGATTGTAGTGGTAATGTGATTACTGCAGATGGAATTCAGCCATTAGTTAGTAATGTTCTTGGAAAACAAATGGGAACTAATACAGGAAGCGGCGAAGCTCAATATATGCAACAACAAAGTCAAATTTTTGTATTTTCTACAACATTAGCAAACAAAGGTGCAGATGCAGTATTGCAGGGGCAATATCCGTCAATTATTGCTTATCACTGTGCACAGCCAGGCACTAAAAAGTATTTAGAGGTATGTTTCGGAACAGATAACTTGTTTTTATTATGTCATTTTATGTAAAATGAAAAATTTAATTTTATCATTTTAGAAACATCCGAACAAAGTGAACCAATTTCGTCAAAATCCTGCACAGTGGTTGAACAATTTTGCCATGATGAAACAGAAAGGTCATCAAGGAGGTACAAATAATACTTTTCCAACGGAGCAACCCCCAGATCTACCGGCCCTTGATCCCAATGCTCCACCATTTTGGAATGAACAACCCAATCTCAGAAACTTGAATGGTGGGAATTCTCTTGGCAATTCTGAACCATCGTTGGATGACGCAAATATAGACGTGCCTTGTCTTGTACCAAATTCACCTGGAAGTGCAGGTAATTATATATTCAGCACAGCAAAAACTATCATTTCCAGGAATTAAATGCAACTAATCTGTATTTAACGCATAACATATTTTCTGTTGCAGCAAATCCACAACCTTCTAATAGTACAATGGGACACAGTCCCAATTTATTAGGAGGCAGTACCAGTCCAGGTCCAGGGAGTTTGCAACCATCCCTGCAGGGTGTTAAAGTTCCAGATGAAAATTTAACCCCGCAGCAAAGGCAACACAGAGAAGTACAATTAGCAACCATAAGGAAAATGCAAATGATGTTATTTCCTGAACACAAAGAAGAACCTACTAATACATTAGACACAACGCAAGGAACAACAGTGTCGTCGTGTCCATCAACAAATGTTCCTCCAGTGGTACCATCGCAGTGTCCTCCGAGCATGGACTGGCATAAATTACAGCACCAGTTTCTCGATGGGAAAACCAAGGTAGTACTTCTTTAAAGTATAAGGCATGCTTCCATTTAAGAGTTTCTTGCGGGAGTTGCTCTTAACAATACTTTCAAACGGTACATCCATTTTGCTTGCTACGTATTTATGTCACTCCAGGGTAAACCTATACCCAATCAATTATAATGGCTGTTTCTTTTACGATATCTGAAAAATTTGTTTATTTAAATTATTTTAAGCGACAAACCGATTCGACGTGGCGGTCACACAACCGCGAAAAGTTCTTTCAAAATGCGAACCGATTTCGTATTCTGAGAGTAGCAGTCCGAGAGTGACCCTACTGCGTTCCAAGTGCAACTCGAGTCTCGATACTCAAGAGTAACCTGCGAGAGTTTTACTCTGAAGTGAATGCATGTTCTAATACGTTACAAGAGTTGGTCGATTAAAAGTTAATAGGATTTGGTTTAGTGTTTCTGGTGTTTGATTCAAACTGTAACTTTTATCCGCGTTATAGGGTAGCGTTGGAAGTCCTGGTACAGGAGTTTCATTAAGAGGTGCTGGTATGGTTGGAGTCCCTCGAAGTCAAGGACCACCACCGCCATATCATCAAACAACTCGTTCTGCAAGCGTACCGATCGCAATACAAAGCCCGAACCCTTCGTCGCCGAATAATCCCACTAGTAATTTGTCGTTACCATCGCCACGTGCAAGTTCAGCATTAAATTCACCGGCAGACTGCAATAGGCAATTTCAACTTAGCAATCAGAGAACGAACCATCTACCTGGACAGAGTCCAACCAGCCAGGATTCTCCCAATCCAACAGTTGGCAACGCGACTGCAGTATCAACGACAAGATTAAACCACAGTAATCCGGGCACACCGGTTTCCCACTCACACATCTCGTCATTGAGTCCAAGTGGACCAACTGCACAAAAGGACTCACCTCTGGATTTTCCTAACAGTCAACCACCAAACGGTAAGTCTTCAAAATACATTTTCAGATATATAAAATAATATATTTCACATTGAATCGCTCACAAAGGATTTCCATACTAAGTAATGCTATAATGCTATACATAGTATATGACAAAAGTTCACTGCTGTAGTATTGTGCGGTGAATTGATCGTGTTATATGTTACAACATAGTGGATGGTATGTTTTGCCGCACGCTGCAATCCTTAGCCCAGCAAAAACAACATACTGGAGCAGTGAACGCAGCAGGCGTTAAGGAAGCCAATTTGATGCCGGTTCCGAGTCCGCAACAGATTCAATACCTCAACACGTTCGAGGGACAGGAATTGACTATACAGAAACAGCCAAATACAAGTTTAAAGGATGGTAATTTGTCCACGTAAGTATATCGTATGTTTTTTCTAGTGTCTCGAAGAATCATTTCTCAGTAATGATTAAATAAGCATTCTTTCCGTTTTAGGAACACCACCAGCAACACCGAAATATCGAATAGAATTTTGCCAGGAAATTTAGATAATAGCAATCAATTTTCTGCTAGATCTGAAGGTGCGAGTCCGGTTCAGATGGATAGTATGAACCGTGGTTTTGCCGGTTCACTTCATAGTCCTCATACTCCTCATACTCCGCACACACCAGGCAATGGTGCTCCTCATACTCCAGTTGATCCTGGAAAGCCTGGCAATAAATCAAGCGCAAGTGCACAAAGTAGTCCGGTACCGCATAATACCAACATACCAGACAGCATGGGTCCACCGAGAACGGTACCAGCATCGCCTACTACAAAACCCGACACATCTCCGCCTTCGACAAAGGATACACAACAGCAACAACAACAGCAGCAACAACAGACACAGCAACAGCAGCCACCGCCGCAGCAACAGCAACAACAATCTTCGGTAGTGAATCCAAACAATTCTGGAAGTACAACGGTAGTGCCTTCGTTAGGTGGAGGCACAGCCGGCTCGTTCCCTTGTGGTAGACCTTCCATAAACGTGAGTCAACCTTCAGACAATGTGCCTCTAAATCCCAACAACATCGGAGGGCGACTCGGCAGTTTAACCGCCATGAGTACAAATCACTTCGACCCTATAACTTCGTTAGCTCAAATGAGTCAACAATTGACGAACACCGCGGCCAGTAATTCGTTGGGTAACGATGGACCTATACACTCCGGTAATACCGGAATGATGCAATTCGGGAACCCGCACAATATGCACATGATGCAAATGGGCAGCGAGATGAATGGAAATTGTCATATGGGTGGGCCGCCGAATGAGCCAGGTGAAGTGGGAGGAATGTGTATGGGTTTACCGGGGCCACCGACCAGCTACAGTCCCACGACATCACATACAGGAAGTCCCGGAGTGGTACCCAGTAAAATGGGACATCCCATTATGGGTCACGGCATGATGAGCAGCCATTCGGGTAGTGCAGGCGGTGCGTATCCGGGTGGCGATCCACATGCACCACCACCGAGATTAATGACAGGACACGTGACCGGCCCAAGCCCTTACAATGGAGCGAACGTTCAAGTGAAACCCAGCGCTCCAAACACGATTCAATATTTACCAGCGAGACCCAATGTTGGCCACACACCGAGAGGGCCCCCAAGTTTGGACTTCCTTCAGCGGTTCACGAATCCTCTATCTAATTTAGAGTCAAAAATGGGCACGCCTTCTGTAAATCTTCAGTACTTCCCGAACGGTTGTGTACCAAATAACATGGGTCCACACGGTGGCATGCCATCAGCCATGACCGGAGGCCTTCCTAGCATGGGAGGCTCTCCGAGGATGGACGGTCAATCTATGAATTCGTCAGTCGGTGTGCATCCTTCGATGAGACCGGTCGGCAACATGAGACCCCAACCAAATCTAATGCGAATGCAGCACATGGTTGGGGGCGGTGTCTTTCCAGGAGGTTCGATGGATCCAGATAAAGTCTTCCCGCCCGAAATGGTGTCGCAAGTTCCCAATCAAGCTAACCCTGGTATGTTCGTATCCGGCAGCAAAGGCAGCCCTATGGGGTTAGGACCTCCTCCTGACGCGACTCAACCACTACCGCCAAGCATGGGTGGTGCTACTAGTAATTTTAAAAACAGCCCTTTCGTTGGTAGTGGACCTAGCATGTCGGACCCAAATTATGCTCAACAATTCCATAACTTCCAACAGCAGTTATATGCCACCAGTACTAGGGGAAGCGGGCCACCGCATCCTAATTTACATCCACCACCGAATTCGCATTCGCATCAACAATTCTTCATGCCCAAATAAAAAGTATGTACGATTGAGAGAGAGAGAGAGAGAGAGAGAGAGAGAGAGAAGATATATCGTAATGGCGATGTTTACAATTGTGGTGGCCTTTGTTGTGGTGTCCTTTCGACGACTGCGTTTACCCAAGGATATGACCTGATCCGATGATGAGTACGAAAATATTTCTGGAGAGTGTACACACTTTTATTATTATATTAAGCGATCTTGTAAAGGACAGAGATATGTCGAATTTGTTAAGGTTCTGATGTTGATGTATTAATTATCAAGAGTAATTATACACGTGACCATTTCAATCGCGATGGTTACATGGACTGGCGTGCGACAAGGGACGCTTTTCTCGTTCAATTCTTTATTTACGGTGTTGTTTCTGTTTTATATGTTAGAGCCGTTTAAGCGTTTTTCTCGGTGTTAGCGAGGATAAAATCGTTCGTAATGTCTGCCGCAAGAAGAATAAGCAAAACGTAAAAGAAAATTTTTTTAGCAGCTGAGCTTTGTTTCTTTCGTTCGTGTCAAATTTTTCTCTCTGTAAATTCGAAACTTTTACAATGAAAAAAGATTAATAAGAGAAAATAGGCGCATAAAGAACATTGTTCACGCGATCATGTAAATATTAATGTAAGATTCGGTTTCTTCGTAGTGATCGTTATTTCGTCGATCGGAATATACGGTAGTGACTAAAGAGAAATACGAGAATGTTTCTAGAAAATCATCTTTAAAAGAGAAAAAGCATAAAGGAAAAAGAAGATAAGCAAAAGCGAGTATTCGGCATACTGCCATTCTCCTTTTTCTTTATCGTTAAAACAATTACTCGTGATAAAGTGATTGTGCGAGAATCAAGGAAAAGTATTTCGAAGGAGTGGGAATGAATACGCCATTCATCATCCTTCCTTTTTATCATTAAATACTTACAAGAAATGAAAAGAAATGCAGTCAAGCAAGCTCAAATTCATAATTGTACATATAAACGATATACATATTATATATATATATATATAAAAATATATATATATAAAATATATATATATATATATACCTGTTGCAACATACTCCTTGCAGTATCGCCCATCCCTTCTCACCTCCTCTATCCCTCATTGATTCCCACGTGACCAACAAAACTGTGCATAATCATGACCCCACGTAGTTTACGAATAATAAGATAAAAACGAAGAGTAACTGACTAAGAAACAATTATGTTGTTGATGAATGATTTTTATTATAAATGAAAAATAAAGATATTTACAAGAAGTCGGTATATCAGAATTGATCGATAAATGGATTCTCATGATGCGGCGTCAGAGAGCGGAAGTTGGAGGATTTTCCTTTTTTCGTCTCGTTACATTTATCGTTTTCACTCTCGCCTGATCGCGAAACAAGCACAGGCTCTGACATGTTCAAACAAAAAATCATGTCATTATATCTTTCAATTAAGCAGGCTGCTTCCAGCTTACTCGGATCTGTGATAGTCAAAGCAAGAACATGTATCTTTTTTTCTCTTCATTCCGAAGACATCAAATACATATCTGTATTCATTAGGGAATGATTCTTTTTTTTAATACTACATTACGTTTTATTTAATTGTTAGTGTTTTACGCGCAAAAAGAGAGATGGAGAATGAGAGAGACAGTGTGAAAGTGAAGAAAGCAAGAGAAAGAGATAAGGAGACAGAAATAAACTACGAAAGAAATAAAAAAGAAATAATTTTTGTCGAAGCAGCTTGAGGCAATCGTAAAGCGAATCGTGATTACCAGAGCGTCGTGCGTTTGTGATATCATAATTAGAAGTCTTAATGATGCGGCGGCAGCGATGACAGAGAGCTATTTACGAATACTTCATACGTTCGAATTAATTAGAAATAAGATTTCTTCTACGATTTCGTAATGCAGAATTGTACAACGAGTCGCGTAACATCGTCCATAGAGTTATAATTAGAATTACAATTTTTCGTATCATTCTTTTTCGGATTTTTGTTTCTTTACGTGCGAAACACGTTCTACCTGCGCCAAATACTTTTTACGACTTCTCCGCATTACTAGATGCAATATTTTTTAAAAACAATACTGCGCGAATAGGTAACCTACATTTTCACTTTCCATCCATTGTGTCAACGAAGCTACCGGAGTTCAATCACAAAAATGTAAAGCTTATCGTTAATCGATTCCCTTTGCAATAAGTCATAATATTGTCCATCATCACTTTATCCAAAGGTGCTTACTAAATCACTAAATTTTCACGCGTTGCGTGAATCTCTTTTAGGTTTCACCGAGATATTCTCGCTCATGTGGGGTTTCCTCTCACCTGTAAAAAGATCATTCACTTAATAAGCGATTCTAGTTTAATCCCCTCAGGTTTCGCTAAGTCTGTGTATCTTCCTCTTTGACCATGCCATTTTTAGAATTTAACATCTACTGGTCTACGATAGAATATAGTAGAGATTACACTATCTAAAGTTACAAAGCAATAGTGTAATTGCAATTCGTCACTTTCACAATCAATTTTATACCCGAAACCTAAGTCAAACCTTTCCTTCTGCGCAGCATCTCATTGACTGGATGTCCCCGAATCGCGCCAGTCGTCTTTATCTCTGTAAAAACGTTACAAACAATGTATAAAAACCCACCATTTGTTAATACTTTCTCGGTTTTTCGATTAAGTACATTATATACTTTTTCGAATTGTTTAATTAATAATAAAGAAATTGTCATTAACTACACGCCAGTGAACATCTCCAGAACCGTACGGCTTGTTCGTTTTTTTCTTTTATGTTATTCTTTATATTCTTATCGTTATTACCTTGATCGCTCTTCCGAGGACGGAGTGTTCCCGTTTGTACTGAAAATTAATAATGTGTAATACATCGATTGTACAGAAATATTAATCTTTTGGAAATTTACTTTTTCTTTAATGCAAAGTCATCCCACTCGCTCAGATCATATTTCGATAGATCTCCATCCTCGTCGTCTTCTTCTTCGTCTTCTTCCTGCAACGATAGACACGAGCGATCAATTCTTTCGTCTTCTTTTTGCTTCAATAATGACTTTTGAGTTAAATAATTAGTGATTTAATTACATTTTCTTCGTTTCGATCTTCATCCTCGTCTCTCTCGTCTTTATTTTTAGATGAATTACGCACGGGGCTACTATACCTAGAATCTTTGGAGTCATCGTCCGAACGGTTCTCAATTTTCCGTTTCTTTTTACGTCGCCCGAACTCATCGTAGTCATCATCGTCGTCTCGTCTCTCTTTATATTCGACAACCCCTCTGTCATTATAACCACCTCCATATCCTGTACGCTCCTCGATCTCCCCAAACTTTGGCGCATTACACATGTTGCACTGTTGTCTGCGAGCCCAGTTTACGTTTCCACATTTGCTGCATTGCCAATCGTCCGCGCTGAAACATTGCAGAAAATCATGACATGAAATCTTCAATATTTATCATCATTATCCATTGATTTGCATTATATATATATTCTTTGTAAATATTCTTTGGAAATATATGACACATAAATGTGTGATATTCACCTAAACAATCCTCTACTCTTTTCCGCAGCTGCTTTCCCAATTTCTTGTCCTAATTTCTTTTTCTTAGGGCATTCTCCCCTATCTGTGTAAGAATATTTTGTTGTTAGTGAAATAAATATTAGTAGAATAGCTACAAAATGATGATAACAGTAGCTAGTAACAGATACAATGTTATTTTAAACAATATTATTAAAAAAACTGTTCTATACATTACCATATCAAATGTCATATACCTTTTCCACACCGATTACAAGAGTTTCTTCTTGCAAAATTTATATTAGCACATCTGGAATATTAAATAGCAATATTTACAATATACTACAAAACTCAAATCAAGAATTAAATGTCTTCCTGTGCTAAAAGAAATCCTTTTCTAAAATGAAAAATGACGCTGTCCAATGTTATATTATTTTATCGAGTCGACAATAGACACTGTCACTGTACAGCATGTCTGTTTTGTATAGAATAACAGACAGCCAAAATCATTGTAAAACATGATCAGATAATTTACGTACTGTGTATCAGGACAAATCCAGTCCCCTTCATTAATATTACGTTGACTATCCTCGTCTATTTTACTAGATTCCATTTTGTGTCCGATCTAATTGCTCGTAAGTAGATGCGGTGCTGGATAATTTATCAAACTTACATTTGATTTTCAATTAAAAACTGTTCTATCCAGGTGCATCTAACCTTTACACCGACGTACCTTTTTTATCGTCCAAGCTATGCAAAACGACAGATTTCACATCACGTTTTTAAAGGTTCAGCTTAACGCAACCTGTTTGACGCGTGCAAGGATTATTGCATTGTGTTGACACAATTTAATGCACAATTTAATGTACAGTTCGAAACACTACAATTGCAACATTAACGACACAATCACAACGCTTACGAAGCAATGAGCTGTAACGTGGCGGTGGCGGTGCTAAAGCACCACTAAAGCACTGTACAAACATACATACATACATATACATATACCTATATGCAGGCATGTATGCAGTGCTCAAGCGATGCCACAGAGATCCATCGCTAGATGGCCACGTACAATTATTTGTTTCTTGCAACTTGCAACTTGCAACTTCATACAACGTTATGTATGTTGCACATCTGGTACATATTAGCTAAGAGAATAGAATGAGGATCTTGGAGGTAAATTCCTCTTTAAAGTAATAATAACGAGATCAAATACAAGAAGACGAATGAAACATCATTTCCTATATATATAAGAGTCGTTTATTATTAATATTCAATTAGGTTCTTTTTCATGGATCAAAGTTAACTGCTATATCGACCTACATAACACAGAAATTCAAGACAGTACGGCATAGTTTATCCATGGACAATACTTAAATGTAGTACAATTCAATCAAAGTAATACTGGAACGCAAAGACAATGAGTAAACTTATTCAGTAAGAGGTATACGTATTTCCTCTACGATTCCTGATCAAGTACTTATTCTAAATCGCGAAACTCTATATTATCGCCGACATATTTGTTCAATTAAAATTTGATCAAAATCGCAGCACAATTGTAATCATACGTACACGAACACGTTGATGTAGTACCGTTAAGTACAATTGAAAATACAAATGTATAAGATTCATAGCTCTGCAGCATTTCTTTGATATCCGTAATATTTTTTAGAACTAGATTATACGTACATTTTTTGCCGTTTTCACTATAATAAAAAATGCAAATAATGGTATGAATCACCTATTTCGTAAAATATGCATGTATATACCCAGTAAGCAATTTGTCATGAATCTGACAGAACGCTGTTACGTCAAATACTGAGCCATCCGTTTCCGCATCTCACATCGGATTTGGCACCAACACTTTGCACATGCCAAATACGGGCCAAATCTAGACCAAACCTTATAGAACTGCCACATGTGCCACATGAATGCTACCGACCTGCCCTCTTCAAACGAAACGTTTCGCTACAAGATTGCGCCAAGTTTGCCATTGATTTGGCAACGCAAAGCATCTGCTCCCTAATACCGAGCCATCTATTTCTGTATTACGCCAGGGATTTGGCCTTATCGAAATATATATTAAATGCGAACCAAAAGCAGTGATTTTGCACCAAATTCGTATAAATTTGCTCGCAAAGTACATTACCAAGAGTTTTATATGTATTTGGCCGAAACAGACTTGGCTGACTTATATAAATTCTACGTAGCACTTCTATAAATTCTACGTGCTCAAGTATTACTGGTGTGATTGTTTGCAATGAAATTTGCAATAAAATAAATCTTGCAAATATTTACATATATATATATATATATATATATATATATATATATA